CTTCGAGGGGGGGGTTTTCAGGTGCTACCGAGCCCTTGGTCCTTTCCTTTCCAGGGGAGCGTGTGGGCGCCTTCACTGTGGTTTGCAAGGACTCGGAGGAGGCCAAGCGGGTGGAGTCGCAGCTGAAGATCCTCATCCGCCCCATGTACTCCAACCCCCCCATCAATGGGGCTCGGATCGCCTCCACCATCCTGAACAGCCCTGACCTCAGACAGGAGTGGTAAGACCTGTGGAAGAGCCGCTGGCTGGAAAGCAGAAGGGAAAAGAGAGGAGGAGGATGAGGCAGCTGTGGTGGTTCGGGGCAGGATCAGAGAGTGGGGTTGTTGCAAGGGGGTGGCTCTGTCCCAAACCAGCCGAGGCCTCTTTGGCCCTGTTCTTGTCCAGGGCTAAGCTTTAAAGCCAAGGTCAGCTGTGCTTTCTTACAACAGCCGGCTGGTTCTCTTTGCGCCGAAAGGCACTTGGTTCCCTTTCTTCCCTTCCAGCAGAAGATGCGCTTACAGGGAAGTTGCCAGAAATGCAGTGGGTGTTTTGTAAGCCTCTTTGTGGGAGGCTTGTTGTGGAGGGGGAGGGAGTGGCAGACCTCCAGCCCTGGCTAAGACCTCTTTTTTTCTGGACTGTAAATCACAAATGCGGAAGAGGTCAAGAACACAAGGCAGGTGGTGGATGATGGGAGCTGCGTTCTGTGGCTTGTGCCTGGCTCTGTGGAGTGAACCGCTTTCCTTGGGAACACCAGCCTGGGGATTATTTCTTGCCATTTTCCAAGCAGGGCCACGGAGCCTTCTTTTGACTTTCCCGGGCAGTAAACCCTTCCGGAGGGGCCACCCACTAACCTTCCTTCGCCTTTTCCTCTTACCCGTTTCTGTCTCCTGCGGCCTCCTTGGCGCAGGCTGGTAGAGGTCAAGGGCATGGCCGACCGCATCATTGGCATGCGCACCCAGCTGGTGAGCAACCTGAAGAAGGAGGGCTCCTCTCATAACTGGCAGCACATCACCGACCAGATCGGCATGTTCTGCTTCACGGGACTGAAGCCCGAGCAGGTACGTGGGGTGGTGATGGTGGGGGTGCTGCTGAAGCCGAGGGTTTTTTTAAAACACGCTTCCACCCACAAAACCACATTTAAGGAACTCCGTTCCAGTGATTTATAACGGGATGAATGCAGGAGGCTTCTAAGAAATGTGTGGTGCCATTTGCTGGATAAGCCATGCAGGTGAAGGAATAACTGCCCCTCCGCTTCTAAGGAGGGCAACACAGACCCTGTCTGTGCCTTGGGAAGCCGAGGGTTTTTTTAAAACACGCTTCCACCCACAAAACCACATTTAAGGAACTCCGTTCCAGTGATTTATAACGGGATGAATGCAGGAGGCTTCTAAGAAATGTGTGGTGCCATTTGCTGGATAAGCCATGCAGGTGAAGGAATAACTGCCCCTCCGCTTCTAAGGAGGGCAACACAGACCCTGTCTGTGCCTTGGGAGGGGGCCCTTTAAGGAACTCCGTTCCAGTGATTTATAATGGGATGAATGCAGGAGGCTTTTAAGAAATCTGTGGTGCCCTTTGCTGGACAAGCCGTGCCCCTCCGCTTCTAAGGGGGCCCAGCTCCAGGGGGGGAAGGGGAGGCTGGAGGGCTGCACTGGCCCTTCCATGTTTCGAAGGGGAAAGAGCCAACCAGTTCAGACAGAGCGGGGAGCCCGGTCTTCTTGTTTTCGAGGAGAACTGGTCTCTCTCTCCTCTTGTGGGAGGGAGATGGGGGGGGGCTCAAAGGGAATAAAGATCACATTTAAAGATCCCTGTTAATTCCACGTCCAGGTTTTGCTCCTGGTGGGTCTGCACGGCACAGCCTGCAGAAGCCACGGCGTGCCGTGTTCATACCGGCGGGAGTGTCACCGGTGCAAAGGGGCCCTGGATGTTGCCCTGCCCAGGCTCCGGGAAAGGCCGCCTTGCTCACACGGAGCTCCAGCCAGAGGCTGCCCATGGGGCTGCTCTTTGGGCTTTCCCCTTTTTAAAAGTGGTTGCGCGGCCACCTTTTCCTCTGTGCTGATATATAGAGCTGTGCTTCGGGAGGCAAAGTGGGTGCATGGCAGGGGAGGAAGGCCTTCTCTTAAGACTAAGCGCTTTCGCTTCTCCCTCTAAGGGGGCAAAGCCGCAGCCACTGCACTCTCACGCCATCAGCAGGCTGTCGGAGCTGGTCGGGCCACAAGTGGCTGGCGGTTTCCCCTGGGGCGTGGCTCAGCCATCCTCTGGAAGCCTCTTGAACCGGGCCTCCTTCTGCCCTTTCCTTCCCAGGTGGAGCGGCTGACCAAAGAGTTCTCTGTTTACATGACGAAGGACGGCCGCATCTCCGTCGCGGGAGTCACCTCCGGCAACGTGGCTTACCTGGCCCACGCCATCCACCAAGTCTCCAAGTAGAGGGAGAACGGAGCCGGATGGATCCCAAGGGCCTCTGGACACTTGGGCCTTGCCTGGCGTTTGGGGAGGGTCGGGGAGGAGGTGGCCTTCCCTCAGTTTCTCATCTTCGTGGAATGTGATTTCTTTCTTTGGCGGCTGCTGCTGCCACCTCCCTCCCTCCCTCCCTTAAAAGGCATCCCTGTGCGATTTAACCAAAACCAGAACATTTTTGTGCTTTTGTTAAGTGATTGTGGTGGAACCAGTACGGCTGCTTTGGTGAAGATGGAACAGGAGGACTCCTCCCGACTGTCTTTCACCGAGTTAGAGTAGAACAAGCCTTTCCCTGCCTTCGGAGGGGGAGGGAGAGGGTGTCTATGGGATGCCCCCTTTTCCCCCACCCCTGATCCCCGCATCACAGAAGGGCCTCAGACTCCACCAGCGCCTTCCT